TAACTCACTGGCCAAACTCTTGGCCCCCTGCTCTGCTCGCTTTGCACCACGCCAGCAGAGCAAAGAGGACAGAAACAGGCTGGCGTAGAACCAGCCTGACGGGCTGCTGGCCACCCCCCCACAGCACCTCTGGTAGGGGGTGAGGAGGAGGCATTGCTGTAGCCTAAGGTCCCTGTAAACTGGGTGGCCGCGTGGCTGCCCAGCAGCCTGTTTAGCGCCGTGCAAACACTCAGTGAACCCGCCCGGAGCGGAGACCTGCCACAGCTGGGGGAGGGACACTCCTCCCCTCCCCCGGCCCCCAACCTGCCACAGGAGGGGAGCCCCTCCCCGGCCCCAACTCAGCCTGCGGCCCAGACCTGTCGCAGCTGGGGCGGGGCAGCCAGATTGGGCCCAGCCGCAGCCCGGGCCAGCCCCAGGTGTGGCCAGGGTGGCGTGGCCCGGACCAGCCCCGGAGCGGCCCAGACCCAGCAGCGGCCCAACCCCGGAGCGGTCCTCCCCCGGCCCTGACCTGCTGTGGCCGGGGGATGGACACCTGTCCTGCAGCCCCAGCCCCAGAGCTCCCATGGCGGGGAGAGGCGCCTCTCCCCTCCCAGCCCAGGTGCTGCTGCGGGAAGAGAGCACTGGGGGGAGCCCTCTCTCCCCGCCTTAACCCTGGAGCACCCTCCTGCACCCCAAACCCCTCATCCCTGGCCCCACCCCAGAGCCTGCACCCCCAGCCGGGGCCTTCACACCCGTGCACCCCATGCCTCTGCCCCAGCTCTAAACCCCTCATCCCCGGCCCCACCCCAGATCTTGCACCCCCAACTAGAGCCTTCACACCCCTGCATCCCATGCCTCTGCCCCAGCCCTAAGACCCTCATCCCCAGCCCCACCCCAGATCTTGCACCCCCAGCTGGAGCCTTCACACCCCTGCACCCCAGGCCTCTGCCCCAGCTCTGAGCCCCCTCCCACACTCGAACCCCTTGGCCCCACCCCCACCAGATGAATTTTGTTATGTGCACCAATATGAAGGTGGTGTGTCACATATCACCTCCATATTGGTGCTCATAACAAAAGTCATTTTGCACATGGGTGGGAAATATTAGCTGCATGGCCTGCGTTACTCTGGCTATACCCAGCATCCAGATGGCTCCCTGGGAGCTGAGAGCAGCTGGAAAAGTCTCAGAGCCTCTCTAAACCCTCTGGAGCTGGTGCAAAACTTGGTACCGGGAAACCACAGTCAATCCCCCACCTTCCTGCAGCTAGAGGACAGAGGGATGGCTCTGTGGTTAGGGCCAAGTACCACTGAACTGCGGAGTCAGTGGGCTGCTGGCTCGGGCCAATGCAGCACAAACTGATTTCCACGGTGCTGCAGTGATTTTGTGTCATATGAGTTTCCCCTCGGGGTGCCCTGCCTGCAAGCTGGAGCTCACACACGGGGCCGCCCATCCCTTTGGAGCTGCGTAATGAAGCAAGATTCCATCTCAGCAGCACCTGGGGGCCGTCATCCACCATGGAGAATAGGGAGTGGGCACTTGGTTGGCTTGAAGGACAGGTGGATAATAAGCATTTAGAGTCCTTGAATTCAGGCAGGGAAGTTCTTGGAAATGTGCTTGTCTTATTCATGTGTGCAGCCTGGCAAAGCACACCGCCCCCAGGAATGACTGGTGCAGGAGATGGAACATGTAATGAAGGAACAAGCTGTCCCCTCCCTCCACCCCGCACCTCTATTCCCACAAAGTGAATTAAAACGTCTTCCGTTCCAGCGCTGCCCATGGCTGAGTTTTGAGGTGGTGGGAGTGGAAACAGCTGAAGAGTCCTCCAGCTTCTTGCGTCTTTGGGGTTTGCAGGGCATGTCTGTCTGTCCAGCTAGCCATCAAGAGAGATAGGGCACTAGCCAGGGACTCAGGACGCCTGGCTTCTATTACTGACTGTCCCACTCACCGGCTGTGTGACCATCGGCAAGTCACTTGACTGCTCCGCGCCTCAGTTTCCCCTCTCACCACTTGTCTGTCCTTTACGCTCTTAGAGCAGGGCCTGTCTCTCGCTCTGTGTACGTACAGCACCTAGCACACTGGAGCCCTGATCTCAGCTGGGACCTCGACAAACGCGACTCACCATCCTTACATTGGTACAGTCCACAAGCCCACATTTGGCTGTATTTCCATTGTGATTTCTTGGTGGCACTCAGTGAGGTGGAGAAGTGAATAACACGGGCCTGCCACTCCTTGCAGTTACACCAGTTTCTGGGTCGTCTGTACCGGAGCTGGAGGCCTGATTTCCAGCTCGGATGTGCACTCACTTGGATCAAGCACGCGGGCTAAAGCCAGAAGTGTAGCCATAGCAACACAGGTGGCAGGCTGGGCCAGTCACCTCAAGTACAGTTCCCCCTCCCCAGCCCACCCCAGCTCCCTGGATACTTGCTCTTACCCTGTACATCTCCATTGACTTTGGGGACGTTATTGATGATTTACAATGGTATACATGAGGCTCAAGTCTTGCTGGTGTCGGCTGACCGGCTGGCCACCTCTGTGAACGAGAAGCTGCAAAACGTGGATCTGGGTTTGAGTCTGGATTTCAAACCCGCCGCTAGGTTTGAGGGTGTGGCGATCCGGAGTTCTGGGTCGACTCGTCAGGGAGGTAGGAGAGGCTGTCGTCTTGAAGCGGGGATTGGGGTTCTGGTCTGGAATTCACAGTTCCCCTCCCCACAAAGGGTATGGGGGAGTTCAGATTTTTGAGGGGGCGATTTATTTGGTGAGCACGGGTTGGGGGGAGGGATAGCTCAGTGGTTTGAGCATTGGCCTGCTAAACCCAGGGTTGTGAGTTCAATCCTTGAGGGGGCCATTTAGGGATCTGGGGCAAAAATTGGGGATTGGTCCTGCTTTGAGCAGGGGGTTGGACTAGATGACCTCCTGAGGTCTCTTCCAACCCTGATATTCTATGGTCTTCTATGGTCTAATGTGCTCGGAGCTGTACAGCATGGAGAGTCAGTGTCCCCAGCCTCGAGGAGCTGCCCTCAGCCTGGCTCCCAAGGTGAGGAGCTGCGACAAGACCCAAGCATCAGATCCCCGCCTCCGTCTTTGCTCTCAGCACCTCCTCCACGCCCCACAATCCTCTCAGCTGACTGCCCCACGCCTCCCACCCCGCCTCGCTCCTCCCACTGCCGGCTTTGAACTTCTGCCCTGCTGAACCATGAGCCAGGCATCCACCTCCTCTCCTTCCTGTCCTCCTCACGCCGATGGTCTGCTTACCTGCTGCTCCATCCATTGTCTTGTCCGGCTTCGGGCCTGATCCACAGTCCACACCAGTCAGTGGAAAGACTCCCGCAGATGTCAGTGCACTGTGATGCAGGCCTTAGTCCGTAAGGTACGTTGACACTGCAGTGTAAGCCCAGGGGTCGAACTCAAGCTCAGGCCTCATGCCCTTTCCATCTACACACAAATCACACTAACCCAGGGTCCTGGGCCCCCTGGGGGTGAGGGTCTGAGCCTGTGTCAAGCAGGCACCCAGGGTTTAAGCCCTGTTGCTTTGTGGTGCAGACACAGCCCCAGTAGACTCATGCTCTGGGACTCCATCCAAAGTATCCCACAATCCCATGGGCCAAGTTTCTTTGTCCTCTGGACTGTCCAATCTGATGGACAGTCAAGTTTTCCTACACTGCATCACCAACCCAGGGCTAGAAAGGCCACATTTCAGGAGAGCGCTAGGAAGTCTTGGAGATGGTTGGCTGGACTTGAGCCTGCGTACAGCAATGTGGACGCCGGAGCCCCGGTTTCAGGTCCAGGTTAGAAAATTCTTGACCTAGGGTTGACAGTCTGTGTAGATGCTCAAGCCCTGGGTTCTCTAACCCAGGGTCCACTGACTCCAGCTCCACTAAGCCTAGGCTTACATGCAGTGTAGACATACCCCAAGGCTGTGTGGATGGGGTAAGTGCCTTTACCCTGTAGGGCAGATCCTGAGAGCTGCTGAGGTCCAGGCTGCATCTCGCATTGACTACAAGGCTTTTCTGAATACCTACATCCCACTACCATGGTTGTCAATGGCAAGACTTCCATGGACTTCAGCAGGGGCAGGGCCTCAGTCTGCCAAGTACCATGTGAGGGCCTGATCCTGTACGGTGCGGCGTGCCTTCAGCCCCCACTGATATCTCAGGATCAGGCCCTACATGTGCAGCACCAAGGGGCCATCAGAGTAGGCCATGGATGCTGGACTGCAGCACCTCCAAATGTACCAGGCAGGAGCAGCGCTCCGTGCAGCCATCCTAAACTCTCGCCAATTGGACTGTTGTAAACAGCACCACATTGATTCTGTCACTTCCTCGGCCTCTCGGCACTCTTGAGAGGTGCTGAGGATGGACCCAGCCACTTGGGGTGGGAGAGGAGAGAGGTGGAGCAGGAGTGGTGGGCTATACCGCAAGAGCATTTCATTTGTTACACACAGTTGACTTGTTTCATTAGCATCCCTTGGACTGTGAGTGACTATGAAGCCCATAAACTCTGAGCACATTTCCTTTGTACTTTTTCTCTGTGGCTAGTTTACATGGAGTCTCTTGTCAGCAAGCGCCATCACTGGGTTGTGTTGGAAATTCTGGCTAAGTTACAGCCGTGGAACGGCGAGGGGAGATTTTTACGGGAATGTGGCTCTCACTAGATAGATTAAACTTGTAAATGGCTGGGGTTGCAAACCAGCTGAGACACACCGCTGTTAAAAACCACCTTATAACCTTTCCAGTAAGGATCGCAGAATACTCTGCACAGATGAGTAATTATTAGCCCATTTACAGGTGGGGAAACTGAGGCATGGGTGCTTGCCTTTGCTATGACTCACCCTTGGGGAGCAGGAATGGGTTTTAATTACAGTGGGGCAGTGATTTTTTTAATCTACACTAGTTTGATGAACCCCACAGAGTAGCTTGAGGAGCACAGATGCCCTTAGACTTCATCCTGTCCGTGGCTCCACCGATAGGGTGTTTTGATATTTTTATTATTATTATTATTTATTATTTATTTTTATTTTTATAGGGTTACATGAAGCCCTTGAAGCAGCCAGAAAACTCGATCCTCTGCGACCCGTCCTTGGTGGACGAGATATTCGACCAGATCCCCGAGTTGCTGGAGCACCACGAGCAATTCCTGGAGCAGGTCCACAACTGTGTGCAGAACTGGCATGAGAAGCAGAAAGTGGGAGATGTCCTGGTACAATCTGTAAGTACAGCAAACCTCCCCACACACATACCCTACGTTACGGCACCTGGAGCCCTTGCTGGGCAAGGTTCACATTGATTTCAGCAGAAGGATGGGGACCTGTGTGGCCATGACAAGAATCCATATTAACTTGTCCAGCTTAACTTTAATCCACAGGACACAAGGAAGGTCAGTCCTGTGCCAGATATGGAAGTGAGTCATTATTTGATGATCTGGGCATGGGTAACATAAACGAACCAGAGTGCCTATAAATGGATGGTACCATGGAGCAGTTAAGCTCTTAAAGAGAGCAGGAAGCCCAGACAAGAGTGCCAAGTGCAGATTGCGCTGCTCTTGCTCATGCTGTTGAGCTGTCTCTGTCCGGATTTCAGACCTGCTTGGCTGGGTAAATGCTCCCCATCATGAGTAACAGTTGCACAATCTGGCACCTCTTTAGAAATGACCTTAGGAGGCTGAAACTTTGCATTCTCTTTTAATGGGCCAGATCCTGCTAGCCTTCTCTGCCGCGGCTCCGGACTTACACTGGTGGAACTGAGATCAGGATCTGGCCCGGTGACTCCAGATCAAGATGGCTCCGTTCCCCAGGTCAAAAACCAAAAATGGTTTTTCTGAGCCCTACCAGCTCCACCTTAGATGTGAAAAATCCAGCCAGGCTGCCTCTGATCTCACCCACTGGAATGAAGATCCCCCATCAGAAGTTATCTGACAGTGGGGTTGGCGAGGTGCTAGGCAGAACAGAATCCAGTTTGTCTTGGCCACAAGCAGACAGGTCTCAAGGACACACACCCCGCATTCTCCCGAGAGCAGGTCCAATGAGTTCGAAGGTGCCTTTTCTAGAAAGTCTTGCTCCTTCTTCTTCTCTAATCTCCGAAAAGGACATGTGGCAGGGGAAGTTAGAGCCCCCAGTTCTAATCCCAGCTCTGCCACTGACTAGCCATTTGGTCCAGAGAAAGACACTTACCTTTCTGGTGTCTGTTTTCTCCTCTATAAGCTGGGGAGGATAACACCCACCTCTCAGAGGGTGGTCAGGCTTACTTAGTTTTTGTGATGTGCTTTCTGCAGTCCCCAGAAATGCCAAGCCTCCTCAGAAATAAAAGGGACAGCATCTGAGATCACGGATGCAATGCGCACAAGGTTTGGTGGTTTCTCCAGGAGAGTCCTCAGAGCCCCAGATGTCCCAGTTTTATAGGGACAGTCCCAATCTTTGAGGCTTTGTCTTACATAGGTGCCTATTAACCCCCCATCCCCATTTCCACCCCCGTCCCAATTTTTCACACTTGCTGTCTGGTCACCCTAATCTACACTTGCATTGCGTGGCAAAACTTCCCCACCAGAGCTAACCCAAACAAGCGCCTGCGGGGGAGGAAACCGTGCAAGCCCTTGTGTAGACAGGACTCCTGCTACTGCTAGCACCGGCTGCGCCGCATTGGGGTCACCAGCAGTGGGACGGTCTTTGCCAATGAACTCTAGTCCAGGCAGGCCTGAGTTACTCCCCCAGCCTCCTGGTGGTAGACTCCCTGCTGACAGAAGTCTGCCTTCACAGCTGAGCAGTGGGATATGTACTTCAGGGATGTAAACAGCTGCAGACATAAAGAAGCCGGGAGGGGGGGGAGGGGGAAGCAATCAAATAAATTTGAGAACCACTGCTCTGGAGTCCCAACAGTGGTCACCCTGCAGGGCTTGCTACAGATCAGCAGGAGGCGCCCTGCCACAGGTCTTCCATGACTTCTAGAGTTCTGTGGCCTGTGTTATGCCGGAGGTCAGACCAAAAGATTGCAGGGTTCCCTTCTGGCCTTGGGATCCATGACTCTGTGCCAGCCTGAGGAGGAAAGTACCGAGTCCTGGTCCTGAATCCTGATCTTCCATGCACAGGCTGGTGAGACAGATTATTCCCACAGAAGCCTCTTTGCAAGCAAGGCTGCCTGGCAGCAGAGAAGTGTGCAGGCCACAAGGGGCTTATTGCCAATCATGGTGCCATCTGGGTAGACTGGGCACTAGTGCCTCACCCCAAAGATAGTGCTGCTGGAGAGGCGGCGCGGCCTCCCATAAAGATTCAGCAGTGAGACCCTGCTGGCACGCCCCCTGTGAGTGGGTGGCCTGTCTGGCTAGACTGCAAGCTCTTTGGGGCAGGGTCTGTGTCTCTTCTCATTGTGTGGATGTACAGCTCCTAACACAGTGGGGCCCTGATCTCCACGGAGGCCCTCTCAGCGCTGCTGCAGTACAGATAACAAATACCGGTAATCCGGAGAGCCTTAAGACTGGAAGGGAGAACGCAAAACCTACGTCACCAGAGAATTACCCTTGTTTCGGGAAGGGATGCTGTGAACCGAGCAGCTCTGACTGGTCTGCTGGGGCGCTGTCCTTCCAAAGGGAGCCCACCACGGAGCAAGGACAAGGCAGCAGGCTGGCCAAGGGCACGGGGGAGGTCTCTGTACAGTCAGCCACTCTCCTGGCATGGGGTTGCTTACAGCCCCGTGCCATCCCGATCATTTCCAAGTCAGCCTCTTCACGCAGCGTTCCCTTCCCACTGGCCCCACGGCTGGTGCACAGGGGCCTGTGCAGCCCCTGTCTGAGTCCCACAGCAGCTGCCTCTCTGATAAATGAGCATGGGCGAGCAGACACTAATGATTCAATCAAGCTGGGTATAATGCACACTCTGTCCCTGGCAATTCAAATGGAAACCGGACGGATGCTGGCATTCTAGCCTCTCACCTAATGAACTGCACAGTGCTCGTGGGGCTTTCACAGAGCTCTGCTGTTTAGCTGGAGATGATGGTGGAGGATTGTGCAGCACGGGACTGGGGAGACACCACTCATTAATAAAGGAGAACGAGACAAGTTCAAGGCAGAGCAAGCTGGCTCAGCTGGGGCCCTGACAGCAGTGTCACCTCAGTAATAAACACGGCCCGGATGACGGATGCCTTGATTAGTGTGATGCTGAGGGGCACAGGTGGTGCAGTGGCTGGCGAGATTGCCTGTGGCTCTCCAGAAGAAGAACGCCGATGGCGACCATCACAGGAAGGTTTGGGCTATTAATTTTTTCACCATCTCCTCCCAGCACATGACTAGTCGCTGCAGTGAACGTAGCACAGTTGAGGTGGGAAGTCCAGGGTGACCTTCACTACTTCTAATTCTGCCCTGCGAGTAGTGGTGCTGGGCAGACGTTCCGAATTGGGTGAATTATGTGTCAGTGGGTGTTTGGTGGGGGTCTGATTTTGCTCGTGTTTGTGTGGCGGGAGAGGTGTGTTTTGGTGTAGCTGTGTGTTCAAGGGCAGTGCTGTGTGTGTTGAGAGCATTTGGCATGCACATGGTTGTGCTTATGCGAAGATGTGAACGAGCTGGAGTGTGGTGTGCGTCTTTTACACAAGTGTGGAGCCTTGTCTTTGCTAGTATTTATATCTCCATAGTGCCTACGAGCTCTAAGGAAGGATCAGGCCCCACTTGTGCTAGGTGCTGTTCAAACAGTGGAATGAAGAAGACATCAGACAGGACACAACAGGTGGACGAACCAGACAAGTGGGAGTGGGGAGTCGGAGAGTTTATAAAATGTATAGAGTTTAGCCTAAGAGCAGGAGGCTCAGTTCACCACAGGGCCGGACAGCAGTGACTTGGAGGCATCACAGTGTTAGCATTGCAGACATGCTAAGCAGCAAGTGGGTGTGCGCATTCACATGTGGGTTGGACAATGTCCCAGACACACCTGAGGCAGGGCATGCATTGGAGTGGGTTCGCCTTAATTTTACAGGAAATAAATTGATACTTGAGTCAGTATGGCCACCTGGGCATTAAAGTCCATAACATAACACGATTGTCCTTAGCTGAGCCAACCGAAATAGTGTCACTGAGGCCCCCAGCCAGGCCAGGCTTCTTAGGTTAAGACAAGAAGAGCCTCTCTCTCCCATCACAGCCTCACCCAGAACTGGCCTTTGGGAGTAGTAGCCAGCCTTTTTTATGTGACGCGCTGAGCCCTGATTGGCCTCTGCCTGCTCCCGGCTTTTCTAGCTGCTGGAGGACCAAGACTCGCTGGTTCCGCCAGCTGATCCTGGGAGGCCTCTCTAGGCAACCCATGGAGGTCCAAATGCATTGGTCTTCTCTTGCAAAAGGACAGTGCGCCAAGGCAACAAAGCCTAAAATGGGGGCACCCTGTCACAGAGGGGCCTCAGGCATTGAGGCAACTTGGTCCTTCCTGTTCTCTGCCTGTGGCACACAATACTTCAGTCTCCTGAGGGCTGTAATACTTTGGTCTAATTTGCTCGCGGGGCTTGGCGTGTGTCTGTGGGGTGGTGTTTAGTGGCCTGTGATAGGAGATCAGACAGATGATCTGATGGTCCCTTCTGACCTGAAACTCTGTGGTTGCTTATGTGAATGAGGCTGTGTTCCTAGGTACATATCGGGGTTTGGTGGCTTTAATCTGAAACCTCAGCTGGTGTCAACCGGCATAATGCCATTGGAGTCAGCAGAGCGTTCCCGCTTCACTCCAGCTGAGATTCTGCCCTGGGATGTGTGTGTAGTGTCGGCATTTTGGAGGTGCGTGTGTGTGGGCACTGGGGTGCCGAATGCCTGCATCCCATGGTTGTTGGGATTAATTAGTTGGTGTTTGTACAGCACTTTAAAGCGCTAAGGACTCTTTTGGGGGTTGTGATTTTGAAAGGGGATTTGTCTTTTAAATACATATTTTAATGCTGATGTCAAGCAAGGTCTTTCATCTTTAATAACCAGCCCCTTCAGCATATTGATTACTTCCTAACCCGGGAAAAGTGAGAGGCTGCTCAGAAAGCAAAGGCCAGCAGCTGTAGAAACATAGTTCCTTGCCCTGGTGCCCTTGTCACTAGGGCATTGACTGTGCCATGTGCCTTGTCTCTATTTTGAAGGATTCTCGGTTCCTGTTCTTTCATTTTGGACAAACTAAAACCAACAGCAGATATGGATCTATTGCCTTGGAGCGGTCTGGCTGCTGCTCAGTGCCCAGCCTCAGGCAGGAATGTTACGAAGTCCCCAAA